CACATGGAAGAAGCACACCAGCCTGTGCGATCACAAGGTGCCGAAGGGAACAGGTATCAGGCATCATCAGAACAAAAAATCTTACCATAGTGAATGAGGGAGGGAGTGCGGAGTGGAGACCCAAAGCCCATTTGCAGGCCACTGGAGATCCCTTTGCAGAGGGGTCTCGGGGAGGAGACGAGCCAGTCAGGGTGTGCTGTAGCAATGATGGAAAATACAACTTTCCTCTACTTCCTAAATGCTTCCTCACCCCCCACTATCATGATCCGAATTCTACCTTGCAAGTCTGGCTAGACCAGAGGATGTACGCTGGTACAGATAGGAACTCAAAACACAGGGAATCCAGGGCGGATGATCCCTTCAGGACCAGTGATGTGAGTGGCGATACTGGGAGGGTAGAGGGAGGGTGGGTTGGAAAGGGGGAACTGATTACAAGGATTGACATGTGACCTCCTCCCTGGGGGACAGACAGCAGAAAAGTGGGTGAAGGGAGATGTTGGACAGGGCAAGATGACAAAATAATAATTTATAAATTATCAAGTGTTCATGAGGGAGGGAGGGTGGGAGGGGAAAAATGAGCTGATGCCAGGGGCTTAGGTGGAGAGCAAATGTTTCGAGAATGAGGGGGGCAATGAATGTACAAATGTGCTTTACACAATTGATGTATGTATGGATTATGATAAGAGTTGTATGAGCCCCTAACAAAATGATTTAAAAAAATAAAAAGAAATTTGAGTCCTAAGGACCTAACAGAGCCACGGTAGCATAGGTGTTAAGTGTTGTGCTGTGATCTGCAAGGTCTGCAGTTGGAATCCATGAGCTGTTCCTAGGGAGAAAGATGGGACTTTCTACCCCCATAAACTGTTACAGACTTGGAAACCCAAGTTTACCCAATTCTACCCCATCTTTTAGGGTCGATGTGAGTTGGCATTAACTCATGGCAGTGTTTGGTTTTTGTTTTTAAGAACCTAACAAGGAGCCCTAGTGGCTACTGTGTTACATACTATGCTGTTAACCACAAGATCAGCAGTTCAAGTCTACTTGGGAAAAAGAAGTGGCTTTCTGCTCCCTCTGAATCACAGGCCTAAGCAATCCACAGGAGCAGTTCTGTTCTGCCCTAGAGGGTCACTGTGAGTTGACAGGATGACAGTGAGTTTTTGTTGTTGTTGTTGTTTGGGGGGATGGTTAGGGTGGGGGGTTGGCAGATAATATCAAAAGTCCATTTGCCATGATAGTCCTGAATATAAAGTGAGCCCACAGGGCAATTTTGTGTCTCTTTTTCACGCCTCTTCAGCCTCTCAAGTGTAAGGAAAGCAACTGATTTGGATATGTCTAGAGAAATGAAATAGGAAGAGTGTGGTAAGAAAGTTAGGGAAAATGTAAAGGTAAGAAGGGAGTAGAGACTCAAGGGAGTGAAGGATCATGGAGCCAATAGATCAGAAGTCGGTGTGATCAGGAGTGCTTAAAGTTGAACTGCAAGGAGGAAAAAAAAACTGGGAAAATAAGTAGTCTGAATCTGAAATTGAGAGTGGGTGGCTTTTGTGGATGAATGAGCCAAAACACTGAGGAACTATGGTCATAGTGTTGGATATAACATCTGCATGGAAGCTAAAATCCCAAATAAATGCAACAACAGTAGTTTTACAATACAGAAAATCAGATAAAACAATTCAGGGGTAAGGAGCACTCTGGAGATGCGTATATTTAGGTGAGATGGTTTGATAGCATGAACTTTGTGGGAACTAGGGGACATAAGGGAGAAAGAAAGGAGAGTAGTGTGGCATGATAAAGGGGAACAAGAAACACGACATTGCTGTCAAGCTTAGTGACTTCAGGATAGTGCAGGGTGGGGAGCAGTATCTCTGAATATCAGAGTTAAAAAGTTAAGGGAGAATTCATTGAAGAGGCTGTGTAGATAAGCAGTATTTTGATGAAGATGGATTCTGAGTTTCAAAGGTCATAATGGAAAAATAGAAAGAGGTTGGAGAGTGTATAACAGTATCAAATTAGGAGGCTTGCATAGCTGAATAAGGATAAAACTCCATGATGAATAATGACCTCAGAGTCTTAGAATTCTGGAAATGGTTATCAATTGGGGGATGACAGTGTGATTTTAGTTTAGAAGGAGGGGGGATTAACAGGATTATGAAGAATTTACTGAGTCTCCTCCCAACTCATGCACGTGATGGTTTTGAAGCCACTGGAGATCTGTGGGAGTTGTAGCAACTCCATCAGTAGACTTCACTGAAGTCGTTTCTCTGGCAATGTGGACCATTGTGAGAATGGAAAACCAAGCCCACTGCCATCAGATTGATTCCAACTCCTAGTGACCCTGAAACACAGACTAGAATTTCCCCTTTGGGTATCCAAGACTTTAAATCTTTATGAGAGCACACAGCCTTATTTTCCCATGGAGTGACTAGTGGCTTCAAACCACTGACCTAGCAGTTGGCAGTTAAATGGGTAACTCATTACATTATCAGGGCTCCTGAGAATAGATAAGAGAAAGTCAATTACAATGAAGCTTTAGCACTAAAGTAATTCAAAAGTGGTTATATTCTGGGAATGGTATTAAAGACATGGTTTCTTCCATAAAAAGACTATAATCTTGTAGAATAGTGTAGTCCTTAAGTAAATGAATCCCGAGCCAGGCTCTTTAAATTCAAATCACATCTCTGATACTTAATAGTTGTCTGAGTAAATGTCTTGACCTCTGTGTGCTTGACTTTACTTCTCTGTAAAATGGGAATTTACCCCATAGGCTGTGAGTGTGTATAATTGTAAAGTTCTAGGAATACCACAGCACAGAACAAACACTATACAAGTATCTGAGGGAGAGTTTGTTGTTATTTATCTAAAAGTGCTTGCTCTTACACATATTGAGAGAATAGCTGAAAAATAGCTACAGAGCATGCATATTTAAGGCAGAATTTAGGATAAACTCTGACCATGAACCTCACTCATGTAAGAGATGGAGAGCATAGGAACTAATCTGGGGCAACTCTGAATGCTCAACAGAAGGACCCAGACTGAAGACATGAATAGAGTGAATGGGAAGACTTGATGAAACAGATACACTCAAAATGAGATTTGAAAGAAGGAAGTGACATGAACAGAAAAGAATCATAAATTGTCAGAGGTGTTTATGACACCTTATAAATCTCCCAAGAAAAGCTCTCAGGTTATCTATAGCTCGACAGACTTTCTAGATACATTTGCAGTCTGACACAGGAAGAAATGATAGTTTGTTTCTTTTTTCCTTATGTATCAGATTCTAATCCTTTAAAATGTTTGTTTTTGGAAAATTAATAGTCAAAAAGAAACAAACCAATCTCACTGTCATCAAATCAACTCAAGTTCTTGTGACCCTATGGAACGGGACTCCCTAGGATTTCTGAGTCTAAATCTTTTTGGAAGCAGACAGCCTCATCTTTCTTTGGAAGAGCAACTCATTGGATTTGAACAATTGACCTTGCAGTTAGCAGCTCAACTTACCCCACTACATCATCAGTGTTTATAAATAATACTCCAATATTTTGTAGTTAGCCAAATTTTAGGAAATATATTTAGTGATTTTGTAGACTTTGTAGAGGCTTGCTTACATGTACCTTGCAGTTACATAAAGTTTATCATGATTTGAAAAGAGCCACAAGTTTTATAAAAATCAACTAATTTGTGTTGTCTGTTTTTAAGGATCAATCTTGTACCATTTCCTCTGTATAGGCATGGACAGATAGATTCAGATTCTCCTTTTCCTAAAGCTGATAATGCCTTAATGCTGGCAATTCACAGTTTATTTGTTATGTTGGTAGAAGGAGATACTCTTTCTTTAATCTTCCAAGGGAGAAAAAGATCTACCTCTTTCTTCATCTTCTTACTCCTGGACATAAAATTACTGAATACAGTGCTATCTTATTCCTAAACTTTATACTCCCAGCACCAGTAGACCAGGAGGCATCGTGGGTTATGTGTTGGGCTGCTAACCACAAGATCAGAAATTCAAAACCACCAGCTACATAGCAGGAGGAGGAAGAGGCTTTCTACTCCTGTAGATATTTAGTCTCTCAGACCCACAGGGGTCGTTCTATTCTGTCCTATTGGCTTGGTCTGTGTCAGAATTGACTTAATGGCAGTGAAGTTTTAAAAATATACTTAAAAAAAGTTATTTATGGCAGAAGAATCCCTGGTGGTGCTATGAATTAGGTTTTGGGTTACGAACTGAAAGATTGGCAGTTCAAACCTGCCAGCCATTCTGTGGGGAAAAGATGAGGCTCTTTATTCCAGTAAAGCCTTACAGTCTCAGAAACCCTATATACAGTCACTATGGATTGCAATCAACTTGATGGCAGTGGGTGTGGTTTGGGGTATACCCATAGCAGTGCTCCGGGTAGTGGAAAAGGTTAAGCCCTCAGTAAGGTCGATTACTAACTGAAAGGCCGATAGTGTGGACCCACCCATGAGCATTCTAAGAACACCCTGTGGAAGCCCTTTGGGGCAGTTCTGTCTGTATACCTGAGATTACCATGAATAAGAATAGATGCAACAGCAACATAGTCATGACAGAAAGTGTTCCCTTGGTCCTCTTGGTAATAGATTCATGTCATAGTCTCAGAATCTATTTCCGTATAGTACTCAAGGCAACTGTTGATAATCCATAATAATTATTAACTGGATATATCTCAGGTATTGTGCTAAACATTTTATATATATTACTTTAGTTACTGCAATACCTCCATGAGCTTTTACAGATGATGACAATGAGAATCAAAGAAGAAAAGAGACTTACTCGGGTTTTAACAGCTGAGAAGTAGCAAAATCTGGATTCACACACAGTTGTGCTTTACTCACCAAATCTCACCGTTAACCATTGTATTTCCATTCTTGACTCCAGTGATGAAGCGTCATTATCATTCTTATAAGATATTAGACAATGAAGCCAACAGTGCATGTCAAGTAAAACAGTGAGAAGTGAAAGCTTATCAATGTTGGTTGTTTTGTAGGGAGTAAGGAGGGTGAACCAAAAAGGAGAGAAGAGGCCACAGTAGACACAGAAGAATGTCAGGCAACCAAGAAAGAAAGAGGCAAGAAGAGCCTGCAGAAGGTAATGAGACAATCTGAAGAAAGAACGAACATATCAGTAACCAAGGAAAGCTAGTATGAGAGTAACATTGGGTTAAAATTTATAGCCTCTTAGAATTGAGGAAAGCTGTTAAGTTAGCCCAGGAAGAAGTATATAGTGTTTAGAAAATGCATTAACAACCTGGAAATAAATACAAGCCTGTAATGAAAATTCATCAACTCTAATTGCTATATACTTGTTATTGTAGCACTATAATTACAGTATATGTACAAGTGGCCTGGATGAAAAATTAGGACAATCAAAATATTTATACAGGTGTAACATTGCAGTCAGCAATTTTGAATTGTTATTTTTGCCTTTGATTTTGTCTTTGTTTATAGTCAGAAAGAGAAAATCCTAAATTTATAAGGAAAAAAATCAAGTTCTTCATAATTTTGAGTAGAGAAATGTAACTCTTGGAAATTCTACATCTTAACTTTCCTTATGTGCTTTATTTTTTCTAGCTGTGGATCAGCAAGACACAACTTCATTGACTGATGTTGTCGAGCAAGTTACAAGGCAGCAACAATCTCAAGCATCAGAAATAGGAAAAAGCAAAAAATGTCTGTCCCATTTGCAGGTAACTTGGTTCATATAGTCTTTTAAATGAGTATTTGTTTTCTTGGAAACATATTAAATTGTGCCAGGGAAGTTATACGGGTACTTAATAGTACTAGGAGGTAATTTTTTAGGAGGTAATTTTAAACTCATTCATTTCATATTTCCTCTCTCAGTTATTTGGTATCTCTATGTGAGGTCTAGGTGGCTGTGTCCCATATACAGTGAACCCTTGTTTATCGCAGTTAATCGGTTCTAGACCCTACCGTGATAAATGAAATTCCGCGAAGTAGGATTCCTTATTTGTAAATTAAATATTTTCGTAGTTAGAGCATAGAGGACATGAAAAAACACCCTCTAGTCACCATTACACTCGTATTACCCAATTTATTAAACGAAAAAGGGAAAATACAGTAAAGCATTTTGGACGTTACAATGATCATTTATTATTTATTATATTATTTATGGCATCAAGCGTGTACAGTATGAGCCAATCAGTGGCAGTAATGACAGAGCATGCGCTGTTACGCAAAAACCACGATAGCTTGAAGCCGCGGAAGTCGAAGCGCGAAGTGGCGAGGGTTCACTGTAGTTCCCAGTTTCAGGGAACACTTTATCCTCCCAGCATGCATGCATGTCCTTGTGACTGCAATATGAGCATACAGAACAAAAGATGGACATAAGAAAGTCATCTACAATGATTTTAAATATGCCTTCGCTTGTTTGTTTTTCCAGAAAATCCTGAGTTGAAGTTAAGTTCTTAAGGTATGACATCTGAGTACAAGCTGTCAGGGATCATTCTATTCTGTAGTATACAGGGTCACTGTGAGTTAGCACCAACTCCATCGCACCCAACAAAACAACAGCGACAGCTCTGTGATTCCATGTGTCTGTGCCTTTGCTTCCTCACTTGCAAAATAGCTTAGTAATAGCACTGCTCAAAAGGGGTTGTATGAGCATGAGTGAATTGATTGTAAATAAGAGGGAGCTTTAAAGCGTCTGTGAGAAAATGCCTTTGCTTTTCCACTCGCCCCCCCCCAAACCGTTAAAAGCCCCACTGCATATGTAGCATACCCTTGCTGGGAATCTGGTAGACAGCGTAGGGCCAGATTATATCAGCTTTATATAGCAATGTAAGAGATATCATGATGATGATATCACAATGTTGTGGATGTCTGGTAAATATTTGCATTGTCTTAGTAACATCTCAAGCCAAACTCACTGCCATCGAGCCAGTTCCAACTTACAGTGACCCTAGAGGACAAGATAGGGCTGCCCCTGTGGGTTTCTAAGACTGGGACTGTTTACCGGGGTAGAAAGCCACATCTTTGCCCTGCAGCTGGTGGATTTGAACTGCTGACCTTGTAGTTAGCAGTCCAAGGTGTAACCCACTATGCCACCAGGGTTTCCATTCATCACATCCAGGAAAGAGTATGTTTGTACAATAGGATGGAACATAAAAATAGTCTAAGGATTAAAAATATAGAAATAATAGTATTTTACATTTCTATAACGAAATTTCCTGGAAAAGTTTTCAGTTTTCAAAGAGCTTTACAACTTAATTCATTTATATCAAAGACTTCCCTCTACTAAGTATTTTGTTAGTCAGTGTTCTTATTCTTACATTTCTTATCATCTATTGAGGAGGTAGACAAAGAAATAAATAATTGCTTACAGAATATTAGTATCAGTAATAGAGATATAGACCTAACACAGCTTGAACACCGACGAAGGCGTGTTCACATAGGAAGTGGTGTTGTATTTGAATTGTAAAGGACAGCTGGAGTTCATCTGAATAGGTATTTGGGACAGGTATAATGGCATGGGGAATATACTATTCAAGAAAAAAAACCTGAAAAATTGTATAAAGGCCTGAAATAGCACTGCCACATTTTAAGTACTGGAAATAGTTTGGTGATGGTATCTCTTTGGGCTGTGTGTTTAAAAGTAGTTAGAGATGTATATCACAAGAAACGTGGACTTATTCTAAAAGATAGGAAGTCTTTGATGGGTTTTGAGGGAGCAAACAATAAAATGACATTTTAGGAAGAGAAGTCTAGATGTATAAAAAGCAACTGACAACATTCAACATCCATTCATAATAAAAACTCAGTGAATTAGAACTGGAAGGAAACTTCCTCAGTTTAAATGTGGGCATTGGCATAGATTTAATTTTATTCCCACAAAATATGAATCTATTTTCCTCAGCTATGATTCTCAGTGGTTTGGAAGTTATGTAATGATGTCATGTGACAGCCATGTAATAGTGCAATCATCCTCCATGATATGATATGATGTCACAGCCCTGAGGACAGTATAAGGGGATCAGGATGGGATGTGACATCCTTACTCAGGTCATAGCCCAGAGTAAATGCAAAAGGAATTTCCTATTGGTGTGACTTGTATCATCTTTTATCTTATGAAAAATAAAAGGATAGGGACAAGCAGAAAGAAAAAGATCTGCTAACATCAAGAAAAAGGAGTAGAGCATGTCATTTGGACCCAGGGTCCCTGAGTTGGAAACTTCCTAGATTCAGGGGAATATTGATTCCAAGAAGCATGGGGCTCCCCAAGGGGTACCAAGCCTACGGATGTTAAAAGGAGAAACAGACTTCTTCAAGAGCCAACAGAGAAAGCCTTCCCAAGCTATACCCTGAATTTAGATGCCTAGCCTCCAAAGCTGTGAGAAACCAACTTTCTGTTTGTTAAAGCCATGCACTTGTGGTATTTCTTTTATACCAGCACTGAAAGATAGGCATCTACACAGATTTTTTTTCAAAACCATTTTATTGGGAGTTAATACAGATATCATCCCATCATTCAATCACATCAAGCGGTATTATGCAATTGCTACCACATCAGTTTCAAACTGTAGTCAACCTAATACTTGATAGTGAAAAGCTGAACACTTCTCTCATTAGATAAGCAACAAAGATAGGATGTGTGCTCTCACTACTTCTATTCAAGAGAGCACTAGAATTTTAAGGCAGCGCAATCGTGTAAAGAAAGAGAAATGAATAGGAACCAAGATTGGGTCGGAAGAAGTAAAACTTTTTATTCACAGATGATATGATCATCTTTAGAGAATTTTTAGGAATTTACTAAAAACAATTAGCTAATTGAATAGCAATATATAAAATTGATTATATTTCTGTATATAGATGAGAAACAATCAAAAATTAAAACTTTAAGAAGAAAATTATTTATAGTAATATCAAAAATATTCTGTGCTCAGAGTTTTTAAAAGAAGCCCTGGTAGCACTGTGAGTTAGGCGTTGGGCTAGTAATCACTAGGTTGGCCACTCTGAGGGATAATGATGATGCCCACTCCCATAAATATGTCGTCTCAGAGATCCTACATAGATTGCTATGAGTTGAAATTGACTCGATGGTAGCGGGTTGGTTTTGGTTTAGGATTTTAAAAGCTTACAAATGCAACCCAAGCTACAAGGACAGGTCTTCATTGACCCCGAATACCAGCGGAAGAAGGAGAGTCAGAATTAGGAAGTATTAGCACCATGAGCATCTGTCCTGTCCTTGATGGGACCCAGTAATGGTACTAAAAAGGCTAGTGAAAGCACTTATAAAACTTGGAAGACTGTAAACAATATCACTGAATTGACATGTAAAATTTGTTGGAAAAAAATAGAATTTGTTGAACTCTCATATCCTTTGGTGTGTATATTTTTGCCAAAAATAATAAACATATATTAAGTACTTGGAGATAAATTTAGCAAAAGTTTTATTTTTGCTGAAAGCAAAAAACATTGTTCAAAGAAGACCTAAATGAATGTAGCAAATACACTATATTCATGAATCAGAAGATTCAGTATTACTAATACCTAGTGAAACCTGAGAGAGCCAGAACTTGACAGAACTGACAGATGGATTTGAACCACTGACCTCATGGTTAGAAGTCCAACATCTAGCCCACAGCACCATCAATCTTCCTTGTAGACTACTCACTGAACCTCTATAGAAGGAAAAGAGGGAAGTATGTGGCTAGCCCCTGAGGAAGACTGCTTAGAGATCTCAGAACCAAACAAGAGTGGTGGTGTGAAAACTAAGTTTTCATAAGGAAGTACTGTTTAGCAATGCAGATGCCCCAGAGGTGCAGGGTAGAAAGTGAGGTTGGGATAGGGTAATGGAGTTTGTTGCACGTAATCTAACTGGTAAAAAGCAGATTGGGACCTAGTACCTGAATCTTTTGATTGTTAATCTAGGGCTCTATCATTTATATCACACTGCTCTTTAGTGTGTACTTATGATGCTCATAAAATGTTATTAAAATGGTGGTGACTTATCTTTTATATATAAATGCAAGGACAAAATAATTCAGTTTTAAGATTTAGCATTATATAAACATTAAAAATAGCAACTATATAACTCTGGGTTTCCTCTGAGATTATAAAATCATTTTGTTACATTTTGCATATTTCCTTCTATTGTGCATCAGTTCTTCTGTGTATCTGATAAATATGCATTTTTATGTGAAGCACTTTTTTCTACATGTATTATGGATAAAAACAATGCCTTTGTTTCATGTTTAATATCATGAATTAATAATGGTAATATTGAAATCTATTACAGAATGAACTTCATGAGCTTGAAAAACAGATAGCATCTGTCTCCAGAGAAACAAAAGAAACAGAAAGGCAAATTTATCAGCAAGCTGCTGCAATAGAGAATGCCAGCCTTCAGTGTAGAAACCTGGAAACCCAAATCAAGTCTTCCTATATAGAAAGTGTAAAGCTTAGATTTGATACAGAAGCAGCTCAAGAAGATTTTGAGTTACAAATGACAAGATATAAGGCATACTATGCAAAAATGAAAGCACATGAAGATAGTTTGGGAGAGATCGAAAGCAAATGGACATTCATGACTGAACTCCACGAAAAACGAGTTTTTGTTAAAGAACTAGTGACAATGAAAGAGAAGCTTATGCAAGATCTCCAGAATTTAGAAGGAAACCAGATACTGGAAGTACAGGTTTGAAATATCACTGATCAATATTTTTAATACTCCATTTTTGCAAATATGTTAATCAGATGTTAAAATTGTTATTAAATTACTAAAATGCCCATAGCTTCTCCAACTGCATTCAGGAACTGGTTTAAATCTTAGACAAGTATATGAATTATGTAGCAATTGTCAAATATGCAAATGCATAAAGGAACACCCTCCCCAAAGCCCCCTGTGGAGTTATAAGAATATATAGTCAAACAAAATTGCAGTGAACACTTAATCCATTTGTTGCAAAAAGTATGATTCACAGAAAATATTAAAGCACAACCTTTTAGGCTAATGGATCCAGACCCATTCAAATGAATTTTATATGCCTAATGCTACTATGTAAACAGTATGAATTAATAATTGCCTCTTAAGCATCTTTCTAATTCTTTTTTTATCCTTTGAAGAGAGTAGGAGATACAAAATTAAAATGTTTATTATTGTTCACTAGAGAATTAGAAAATATATATTCCTTATACTGTTGCTTGGCAATTGCCACCAGGCAACCACTTTTCCTTATGTGTTATTTTCATTTGGATTTTAATTCTAAGTTTTCTAATCTAAGCTTTGTTTGTGTGATTGGCAGTTCTTTATTCTGTATACCTAAAAAATAAAAGTAATATTCTAATCACATTTATCAAAATTAAACACGAGGGCAAGTTTTCTTAAATTTTAGAAATCCTGAACATCTTATATTGAACATTTTTTAACTTGTCTGATTTTAATTTTCAAACATGTAGGAAGACATTAAGAAGCTGAGTGATAAAATTACAATCATAAAAAAGTCAATTGCTGAAAAAACACATTTTCTTGAGAAAGAAAATCAGATCCATGAAAAATTAAAAAAAGAAATAGAGGTAAGTTCTCTAAATTTCAGTGTTTTATAGACCCATTTCTTAACCTTCCCCTATTGTTGTAGTTCCATATTTTCTTCTTGAACATCAAAATAGTTAAAAGAACAAAAATAGAGCAAATATTAATAAGAGTTAAATCATTGGTAGAAATAAGTCCCTAATTCAAAGAAAATCAAATAATATGACTGTATTCAGACAAAGCAAGAACTCGCTGCTGTTTAAATTTAGCTTAGGGTTCTTCCAGATAGCATTCGTTCACCAACTTGGTACCTGATTGATAGTCAAAAAAATAGAGGCCACAGGGAAAAAGGAGATCATTCTTAGGTAGACACCAGAGACCCCTCAAAGTTTAGTAAAAATCATGGAAAGTATAAATCTCTGATTTCATATTTATAATTATAAACAATAAGTTAAACATAGGTAGACAAATTGAAAATGAGGCTAAATTTTTATGTTGGTGTATCGATGTTATACTTTTATAATCATTGCTTAGATGAAGGGAGAACAAAAATAGAAAAGGAATGTTCAAACAGATTTTTAAAATGCCTTTTCCTTTTAAGACGTAGATTTGGAAAACAAGGAGATACATGTTTTCAACTGGCTTATGACTGAGGTGTCAATGTGATCAGGTATCAGGCATCTAAGACCCAGAACAAAATCATACCAATGTGAATGGGAGGGGGGACGAGGAGTGGAGACCCAAAGCCCATCTGTAGACAATTGGACATACCTTCACAAAAGGGTCACAAGAAAGAGATGAGCCAGTCAGGGGGCAGTTTGGCACTGATGAAAGACACAACTTTCCTCTAGTTCTTTAATGCTTCCTCCTCCCCCCCACTATCATGACCTCAATTCTACCTTCCAAATCGGATTAGACCAGAACATGTACAAAGCTACAGATAAGAGCTCCAAACACAGGAAATCCAGGATAGATAAACCCCTCACGGCCAACAATAAGAATAGAGATACCAGGAGGATAAGGGGAAGGTGGGGGGAGAAAGGGCAAATTGATCACAATGATCAACATATAACCCCCTCCCAGGGGGGAGATCAACAGAAAAGTGGGTGAAGGGTGACAGAGGACAATGTAAGATATGAAAATAATAATAACATCAAGAATTCATGAGGGAGGGAGGACGGGGGTGGGAGGGGGCAAAATGAGCTGATACCAAGGGCTCAACTAGAAAGAACATGCTTTGAAAATGATGATGGCAACATATGTACAAATGTACTTGAGACAATGGATGAATGTATGGATTGCGATAAGAGATGTAAGAGCTCCCAATAAAAGTATTTAATAATAATAAGTAAAAGCAGCTGATGAATCTTCTATTCATATGAAATCTCCTATAGAAATGAGATTCTACAAAATCTAAACAAATATCAAGATTTATAAAACTCTAAATAAGACAGTGCATAATTGAGAGAGAAATAGGAGGTAGAAATAACAAAGCAGAAAAAGACAGTCCAGAAATAACCCTATTGCGCAGCTGACACAAGCAACGTGGTAGTTTCACCGTATGGGAAAACGAAGAGCGCGCGTTCTGTAAGGTTGATACTCTTCTAAGTTTGCTGAGGTTGGTTCATGGCCGGGGGATGATCTCTCTTGGTATGTGTTTCATGAACACTTAAAATACATATTCTGCTATGGTTGGGTTTAGTGTTCTCTTGCTATAAGTGTCGATTAGAATTAGAACTTGTTGATTAATGGTGTTCATTTTTATTCTCTCTAGTTCTACTCATTGCAGAGAAAGGGGCATTGAAATTTCCATTTTTAAAAATACTTTTATTAGGGGCTCTGACAGCTCTTATCACAGCCCATACATTCCTCCAATGTTTTAAGCACATTTGCACGTATGCCACCGAAATCTCCATTTCTTATTGGCTTTTTTCTTTCTATCAATCTTCACATTTTTGGCAGCTCTGTTGTGTATACATTTAAGATTGTTATATCTTCTTGGTGGATTAACACCTTTATATATGATCCCCCTTTTATTATATATGATCCCCCTTTCGATCTTCGGGAGTCGAAGTGGCATGATTGGTTAGGCATGGGCTTCTAGCCAGCTGATCTCCAGGAGGAAAACTAGCCATCTGTTCCTGTGAAGATTTAGCGTCTCAGAGACCTGGACAGGGCCAGAATGAGTTGGAGTTGGCTCATAGCAAGGGACTTCAGATTTTTGTTGTAGTAATTTTCTTTGCTCTGATAATTTTTCTTTATTTTCTTTCCTGATAGTAATATCGCTAATTCTGCTTTCTTTTGAGTAATGTTTACATTGTAAACCTTTTTTCACCCATTAACTTGCAACCTACATATATTATTATGTTTAAAGTGAATTTCCTGTGGACGCCATATGGTTGGGCGAAGATTTTAGTTATAAACAGGAGGGAACCTGGACTCTCCATTCGCCATTTTCATACTGCTGCCAACTAGAACAAATTAAAATCTGTACACATGATAAAGTGGAAAAAAAATACCCAAATGCAACATTTTCAGTAAAAAAAACATAGTGCTGACTAAGAATTATTACAGATAACATTGCTACGACTGAAACAATGGAAAACGGGATTTACTACCACATTCCTGAAGCAAAAGCACTTTGACTACATGGTAGATGTCTCCCACAGAAAAGGCCACGTTCTTCTCAGGTGCTACTGACGTGCTTCCAACTCATAACCGTTATACACACAGAAGGAAACACTACCCAGTCCTGTTCCATAGTCACAGTTGTTACTATGTGTGAGCCCATTGTTCCAGTCCCTGTGTCAATCTATCACCTTAAAAGTCTTCCTGGTTTTTGCTGAATCTCTAGGGAGCATGATGTCCTTTTCCTGGGACTGGTCTCCTGACAACATGTCCCAAGGGCACGAGACTAAGTTTCACCATCCTTGCCTCCAAAGAGTATTCTGGCTGTACTTCCCACACAGATCTTTTGGCAGTCCATGGTACTTAGAATAATATTCTTTGCCAACACCATAATTCAAATGCATAAATTTAACTTCAGACTTGCTAGTTCGGTGCCCATTTTTCATATGCATAAGAGGCAATGGAAAATATCATGGATTGGGTCAGTCATACTTTCGGCCTCCAAGTGGATCTCAGCAAGATGAAATCCTTAGCAATTTCAATTTTTTCTCTATTTATCATTGATATTGTCTATTGATTCAGTTGTGGGGATTTTTGTTTTCTGTATATTGAGTTATATTTTCTGTATATTGAGTTATAATCCTTATTAAAGGCTATAACCCTTGATCTTCATTAATGAAGATCAAGTAAAGGCCATGGGAGATGGAAAACAAGGAGCACCTTTTACAAAACTCCTTTTGACTGAGACAGGCACAGAAGAGTCAAAGTGGTCAATTTAGTACATATATAGCAGCAAAGTATTCCGTTTAGAATTGAGCAATTTTCATTTCTAGCATCTGGCATACTTTGAACATGTCATCAGAGAAAACCATCATACTTAGTAGGGAGTCACTGAGGACGAAATTACAACATAGTTCTAGAGTGTTGGATCATAGGGTTGCTATGTGCCGGAGTCAACTTAATGCCAGTGCTTGTTTCTTTGAGTTTGGAGTGTTGATATACCTCTGAGGTGGGATACACGATACCCACTGCCATCAAGTTAATTCTGAATCATAGTGACCCTGTATAGGGTTTCCGAGGCTGTAAATCTTTATGGAAGCAGATAGCCTCATCTTTCTCCCATGGTAGTGGATTTGAACCATGTTCTTGAAGTTAGTAATCCAAAGCATTCCTAACTGCTACCAGGGCCCCTTTCAAGTGGGACAGTATCGATGTAATGTTAGTCTTGTCATCTGAAGGCAAACAAACTGTGGCGTTCCTTAGAAACCTTTGAAATCAGAATCCAGAAAAAGGCATTAGCTACATACAAAATATGAAGAGCTATATTAATTTGCTCAAACAACGAAACCGCATCTGGAACAGCAGCTGCAATAAGAGTCACTGCCTAGGTAGGTTATAATAATACACTGTCATTCTCTTAAGACCTGCCCATTTTCTTCACAGGCCAATAGGAACATTGAATGGCAATGTAGTGGGAATCATCACCCATGCATCTTTCAGTTCCTTGGTGGCGTCACTAATTTCTGCAATCATTCCAT